TGACCGTTTTTTCGCAGCGTGTGCTCGGCATTGCAAGCGAGGGAGCGATTGTGGTGATAGTGTTTTCGTCGGGCTGCCCGCTCGTCAGGACATTATAGCTGTGCGCGCCGCAGCTTCTCTTGAATTGCCTGCCAACTGGTGAGATGGAGGAAGAGGCTGAGGTTGACGGTGATCCCTTGTCTGCTCGGGATTATTGTGCTGCTGTGGGCGACGGTTTTCTTGATCCGTACAGCCCCCTATGCCTTCTCCCATGTGGCGAAGACGAAACCGGAGCCCAGGTGAAGGTGCATTGCCTGATAATAGGAGAGGTGCAGGGAAAGCTCATGATCTGTTTGCCGGGCGCCGCCTGGCACCGCGCCATTGCCCGCAGGACCGTGCCGAAAGGTTTTCTCTCACGAGTTGTGGCCGCCGAAGTTGCAGCCGTTGCCCTCGAGGATCGCGGCAGCGAGCTGCCTGGCTCGTGGGTCAGGGTTTGGTTGGGCTTTTGCGAGAAAGAGGGCGAGGACATATTGGATGTGAGCGATTCTGCTCCAACTGTCCCCTTCGGCATCACTTCAGCTGGCGAGCTTATGGTTCCCTCGGTGGAGGCTCTGGCCGAGCTCTGACACGCACAGCTTGGAGGCGCTTCCGTCGAAACACCTGTGCACACTGCTTCCGAGGGAGATGGCCTCCCAGAGGCCTTCTCCGAACGACTTGCTTCCCTGGAGCGTTCTGTGGCCAGCCTCGCCGCATCCTTTGAAGAAGCACGGTCCTCCCCTGCTTCAGCTTTGCGAGCTTCTCCCAAGGTAAAGCTTTGCTCCGTGCAGCCGGTGTGCAGGCCCAGGCCCTCAGCGAGATGTCCCGCATGGTGGCGGCCACTCCCATGACGAGGTCAAGAGGCGAAGGCCCCAAGGTCGCACGGCGAGAGCGAAGACTCACCTCGACGAGTCGGAGGACGAGGCTCCAGAAGTGCAGCTGAGTATCGCCGAGGACACGGCCCCCTCGGCCACAGTGCAGAACGAGAGTCCAGCCGAGGAGTTTGCGAAAGCGATGCTGCGTTGCCTGGACAACTTTTCGGGGAAGCCCGGCTCCTCAAAGCAAAGCCTGCTCGACCGGGCGCTGGATGGAAGCGCCGTTGGTTCTCTCGATGGCTCCTTGAGCTCAGGAAGGAGGAGTGCAGCAGCCAGGCGTGCCTTGCGAGAAGCGCTCGAGACCTTCCCCAACCGAGCTTTCGGCGCTATTAGAGGGCGCGATGGCCGAAGAAATGACAGCTTCCGCGCCAGGCGCTGGTGCTCCTCAACTTACCTTGGCAAGAGCTTGGCTAGAGCACAGGTCGCAGATACAAGCTTTTCCCACAATGGTGCACCTGGCTTGGTCGACCGGAGGGGCCCTCGATTGCCTCCGAGCAGGCAAAACCGAGCAAGCTCAACTTGGCCATACTCATGGCCGACAGTGCTCAATAGATCGGGGCAGCTGGCTGCTGGCTCAAGAATTGAGTCTGGAAGTGGCGCCGCCGATGAGCTCGTTCCGGAAGCACGAGGTGGCCGGAGATCCAGTGTACTCTCGCTTGCACGACGCCCGTTGGGCGGAGGCAGCCCTAGCAAAGCTGCGGGAGGAGGCCGACTACCTCGATCGCCGCCAGAAGTTGACTGCCAGGCTTTGCGGGGGAAGCGGAAACAAGGACAACGCCGAGACTCCGAGACTGCAGCCGATCCCGAGAAGCCTCCGAGAAAGCCTCCGAGAAAGCCGCCGAAGACAGATGCATGAACCGCCCGGCCGGGCGTTTTGGAATTCATCTTTGTGTGCCTTGCTGAAAAGCGGTGGCCCTTTTCTCTGCTCTGCAGCGGGAGAGGAACCGATCTCCCACGCCATTCAACTGGCCTTGCCCGATGCCCTTCCCTGAGGCCTTTGCAAAGGGGTGCCCCGGTCAATGGAAGAAGTGCCTCCGGACCATTTCCCTGGCAAGCCCGATATCGCTGCAATTCCTATCGTTGCTGAACGTGTCAAGTTGCCTGCCTCTCCGGCCTTTGACCCTTCGCCTTTCTGAACCATACGACGCGGGAGTTCTACGAACGACCGTTGCACCGCGCACGGGTCCCTGACCGACACGCTGAGCAGC